AAAAGGTTTGATAATTTGTTCTGGGGCATGAGAATGCTGAGAGAAAGGAAGATTGGATATTAGAAAAATGACTATGAATGAAAATTTGGAAAAATTGCTTTCCAGATGGCTTCAAAGAGCTGTTGATTGGGGCATTTCCCCAGCCCACATTGCAGTAAAGCACTAGAATTTACTGTTTTGGCTCCAATCTGGACAACCAACCTGGCCAAACCTTTTTTGGTTCCAATTTTTTTCATTTATAATCATTCTTTCCATGTTCCCACTCTTTCTTTCTCTCAGCACTCCCACTCCCCAAAAATCAATAACAAAGCTTTTGGAAAAAAACATTTTTATTTTTTATTTTTCACAAATTTTGAAACTTTATTTTTTGTTTTTATTTTTTCATATTCATTCTTTGGGACCTATTCTGCATCAATTCACCAAGTCTTGTGACTTGGAGTTTGTGCTTTGAAGCTGTAGAACCCAAAACAAGCAGCCAAAAACAACGGTCCACCCACTGTACACTTACTTTTGTAACTAACCTAACTCAACTCTTGATTTCCCTACCTGATTGGGGGTGTTTTTCGGGGTCCGATTTGTTTTTGAAGGTTTGTACATTATTGGTGTGTTCTACTTGTTTGTTGGGTCCTTTTTAGTCTTGGTTATGGTCGGTTTCCTGAACACATGAAGAATGAAAAAAAATGTGAAAAAAAATTACTTATGTACATGTATTTCAGGTCGGTCTGGATGTCATTTTATTGTACTACCACCAAGTCCTCCAACAAAACAAAAAACACACACTTATGAAAATTTGAGTGGGATGTTCTTCTGTGATGCTTCATTAGCTGCTGGGTGTATCAAATGTAACCAAATATTTACTTACTTGAGGTAACACATATCCATACCATCTTTTTTTACAAAACAAAATCAGGGTTGGTCTTTGTTTTATCCCCTTTGATGGAGAAGGGGAGGGGGGGGACTCATTGATGTCTAAAAAAAAAGGGGAGGGGGGGAAGGGAGGAACATGAGTGGGGGTTTTTGCGGGGGTCTAATATCATCTTCAGTTTGTAATCCATGCTCATGCAGGACCCTGGCAATTAGCCCCAATTCCAAACCTACATAGTATACCTTATGTGGCTTTTTTTGGAAAATGATGCTACTTATGTCATTGATCACCAGATATGTAACTCATTATGTTTGTTTGATCTGGTCACATGACCTAGCATACATCGTTACTTACACACGCACACTTCAATATGTATCTTCTCTTTTTTTTTGGACATTTTTTGCGCATCAAAAAAAAAAACAAATAGAGCTTTTTTTGGGGGGGGAGGGTTCTTCATTTTCAGGTTATAAGCACCCCCCCCCCCCCCAAAAAAAAAGCCTGATCCTTTGAAGGGTTAATAAGCATTGGTTTGGGTCCCCCAAATCCTACTCCAAATCCAACACTCACTCACTTACTTTTTTTTACCTCACTTGTTGTGTGTTATATGCAAAAAAAAGTGTTATAACTGATGTGCATACATACATAGTCTGTAGCAAACTCTGTTTTTTTCCAGGGTCCTGCTCATGCCATATGTCTGCTGCCTCTTTTATATATAACCAATAAACAAATTATGTTTGATGAGTTTTTTTTGGGGGAGGGAGGGAGAGGTTGAGGGAACAAACAAGATGGTATGGGTGGTTGTGATCAGAGTTCAGCAATCTTGTAGGAACACAAGCAATCTTGGTTGTACAGCAACTTGTGTATGTATGTATTTATGTTATCCTGCAGATGAGAACTTGAAAGCATCAGGTGAATATGTGTGTATTCTCTTTTTGACCCAACCTATGTCCATAGTGACAAAATCTGTGTACAGTGCCTAGACAGTGAAAAGTGGCTGCTTATTTTGCATTCCAGAGCTCCAAACCACAAATTTGAAATCATGAGACTTGGTCAGGTGGTGCATCATAGGTCCCAAAAAATGAATATGAAATAATAAAAGCAAAAAATAAAGTTTCAAAATTTGTGAAAAATAAAAAATAAAATTTATTTTTTTCAAAAGCCTTGATATTCATTTTTGGGGAGTGGGAGTGCTGAGAGGAAGAAAGATGGGGAAATGAGAAGAATGATTATAAATGAAAATTTTGGAACAACTGGTTTTCAGATGGCTTCAAACAGCTGTTGAGTGGGGCATTCACCAGCCCACATTGCAGCAAAGCACTAGAATTTACTGTTTTGGCTCCAATCTGGACCACCAATCTGGCCAAACCTTTTTTGGTTCCAATTTTTTTTCATTTATAATCATTCTTGCCATGTTCCATTCTTTCTTTCTTTCAGCACTCCCACTCACCCAAAATGAATATCAAAGCTTTTGAAAAAAATCAAGTTTATTTTTTATTTTTCACAAATTTTCAAACTTTTTTTTTTGCTTTCATTATTTCATATTCATTTTTTGGGACCTATGATGCACCACCTGACCAAGTCTCATGATTTCAAATTTGTGTTTCAGAGCTCTGGAATCCAAAATAAGCAGTCACTTTTCACTGTCTAGGCACTGTACAAGCTGATTCAAAAACACATACATACACACAATAAGTCATAGAAAACATTGTCAAAAACAAAACAAAGCAAAGCAGGGGGGGGGGGGCGGAAGAGCTTAGGCAGCAATTATAAACAGTTTTTGGATTTGTTTTGTAATTTTTTTGTTTTTTTGTTTTTTTGAAAGTCATTTTTTTATTTTTTTAAGAGGAAGTGAAATTCAAAAAGAAACCAAAAAAAGGCCAAACACAATGCAATTATAAACACAAACAGCTACTTTATTGCTTATCTGCATTGAGAACATGTATCAAGGTCTAGGTCAGAGTACTGTCTGTATTTTTTATGTTGTACAGCAGGATACAGCCCATAAGGAGTGTAGTGAATCCCATAAGGACTGTAATGATATCACATAAGTGAATTTTGATTTTTTTTTTTTTTTTTTCCTTTTCAAACAACCTCCTAGAGGTTGTTTGAAAACTTTTCAAGATTGCTTGTTGGTTAACAAAATAATAATAAAAACATTATGAAAGTAATTCAAACAAAATTCAAAAAATTCTCAAAAAGAAAAAAAGGCTGTTTATAATTGCCGTCTTAAAGTTCATTTATTCTCTTTGACCTAATTCATCAGGTTGACCCCCCACCAAAAAAAAATAGATAATTGTGTAATAAGAGAGAGAGAGAGAGAGAGAGAGAGAAAGAAAGAAAGAGAAAGAATGCTGTGTTGGGATTTGAGAAAGACAGAGAGGTAAAGATAAGGGGGGGAAGTAGAGTGCATCTGTGTAGGTGAAAGAGAAAGAAAGAGAGGATGGATGGATGGTCTTGAAGTAGGAGAGAGAGGGGTAGGAAGGGAGACTGAAAGTTATAAGAAAGGATCAGGAAGGATCATACATAAGAAATACAAGTGCTGATCACGAAAGAGTTTTTTCTTGCGACAGAATAAGGATGTTTATCTATTGGAGGAAGTGAAGAAAAAAAAATGGGGGAGGAGAAGGTCTCAAAAGACGGGGAAGTCGATGTTGTTGAGAGCGAATGAGCGCTTCATCTTCTCGATCTGAATGAGTAAGTTTTCGCGGGACATAGGATATCCGAGGACTTCCCAAGAATCCACGAGCACCGTATCGTCTCCTTCTTTATGACTGTTGTTGTTGCTGAGTGGGGTGGGATCGATGGGGTGGTCGGTCTGTTTGGACAGACGTAGCTGCGGGTATTCGAACGTGATCAATCCGTTTCCTATCACTCTTCCTTTGCGATGGTAGACCGATCTTCCTCGGATATAAGGATCCTATATTCCCCGTCAGAAAAAGTGAGTCCAAGAATCAATATTGTTATTTTGTTGTTGCAAGTGGGGGGGGGGGGGTAATGCAAAGAAGAGAGATGGACGGACCAAGACGAAGTAATGAACGCGCAGATGATAAGTGATGAATTTACGAATGAGAGCGGAGGGAGAAGAATCGTCGGGGACGAGGAGGTCGTCTCTCAGGACCTCCGCCGGGCCGGCCTCGTCGGCCCATTTGCGGGTGATGTCCAGATGGGCCTTGATCAGCTTCTTGCGGTTCTGCAGCTCGTGGTTCCGCACCACCGTGTCCGCCATCAACACGTTCTCGTCCGGAGACACCCCTTCGTATTCCCATCGCCATCCATTCGTGCCTCCTAAACTGCTCAGTAAATGGCCCTCTTCAATGTGCTCTTTTAGCTCTTCTGTCGACTTGGTGATTTGGATCTTCGCTCGCACAACCGCTTTTTTAAAAGTAATAATGATTTTGATCAGCTTTTTTGTTTTTTCTTGAAGGTTTACAGCTTCGGAGGGACATAATCTTGTGTGAAAGAGGGATAAGTCTCGCTCACGATCTAACATCGGCGCAATGATTTTCCAAAGCCCTTGGAACACCCAAGGAGGGTTATGAACGACGAGGACATTTAACGACTAAGGAGCAAAACAAAAACAAAAAAAAAACGACCGGGAAGGCATGAGTAATTAATCAATTGTGGTTTAGGAATGGAGATCTGATGAGGACATGCCTCTGGATAGTAAGACTCCAGACATTTCACAATGAACGCAAGCGACTTCCAGTCCATGTTCGCCAGTCCAAATCCTCTGCGAATCTTCAATCATCAGTATATGCTAGGTAGTCGTCTTGATCCATGGGGAGATGAGACTCACGACATGTCGATGATGATGGTGACTTTCTCAATTAATGGTGGAGTTAACATTAATCTGACGGATTCCATGGAAAAGACGATGAACTCTATAAATATCGCAACAAAAACAAACCAATGAACATCTCATTATAGGCAAGAAAGAGAGGAAGAGACGAGACGGACCTTCGAGGGTCTTCGGAGACTGATCAGACGCCTTATGAAAGCGAACGTTAATGTAGACGACCGGCCGGCCCTGCCGATCGGTGCCCTGGACAAACGTCTTGCCGATCTTGAGCTGGTGCAAGAACCCGTCCTGGTTTTGGAATCCCTCTTCGCCCTTGGCAATGATCGAGTCCACCCCATACTCGATCCGCCACTTCATACATGCCGCCATCATCGCCACTCCCGCCGCTACATTCCATTTGCGCGCTCGTAGGAACTTCAGCACTATGACATCCGGATCATCCATCTATATAAATTGAAGGATTATTTATCTTATGTTAGTTTGTGATTCAACAAATTCAAATAAATGGGAAATCAAAAGAGACTGGACCATGATCATGTTCCAAAACGTATCCAGAAACCGGGTCTTTCCGTATCGTTCCAAGGCAGCCTTAGCATCCCTAAGTTCCTGTTCAGCGCGCAACTTTTCCTTAAGATGTTCGTCCTTAGTATTGCCACTACTACCGGGATTAGAGGAAGGTCCAGCAGACCTATTGTTTGAGAGTTGGGGGTCGTCTTTAAGGTCGAGTTCGGGCTCCTGTTGATCGACCAATCCCGAAGATGACGAAGGTAGAGGTTCTTGAGAGTCGTCGTTGAGGGTCTCTTCGGCGCTCCCTTTCTCAGGCGCACTGTCCACTAAGCGGAAAAACTCCCGCCAGAATGACTTCAGGGCCCCGTATTGACTCGCCGTCAGTTTCCCCACTAGCCCGTTCTCCGGGAGCGGATTGCCTTGTTGGGTCGTCCCGCTCATCCTTCTTTCGGTGCTTGCTCCGCCACTTTTTTCCGCTTTCTCGATTGTCTTGCGTCTGCGTCTCTTTCTCGTCGGCTTCAATTTTCTCTTTTTTTTTGGTTGTCTTGTGTGTTGCTGTTGTCGTTGCTCTCTTGGGGTGGTTCTCTTTCGATTTGCTTAATGTTGCAAGGTGTGACCTCATCAAATACTAGGGGCATACAACATACCACTTAAAGCTTACGTAATCATTCCATCTAGGGTTCCGACCCGGTGCCTCGGAGCCGGATTCCATGCATCCCGAACCCTGACCCCGCGGATATCCGGCACCTAGCCGGGTTTCTCCGGATGTCTAGGGTATTTTTTTTTTATGTTTTTTTTGCTATTCTGCTGTGAAAAAAGCTAACTTAACCCAAGTCCCTCGATCGGAGGGCCTGTACCAGGCGGGCGCAAGCGCGAGCCTCCGAAGGAGGGACTTGCGAGCAATGTCAGAATTTGCGCGTGGAAGCTGGGGGCAGTTAGTAGGGAAAAACTTTGCCCTGACATTTTCCCTGTCTTCCAACTGGAAATTCCTTCTGCCGTTTGGACTAGTGCAAACAGCTCCATTGTGGGGATTTTTTGGGTACACTCACTTGGCCAGGGGCCCTCGGGTCTTGGCAAGACCTGCCTCCAAAAAAGGCCATTTGGCCTTGAGGATGATGAAGCATCTCAGGATTCTTCTTCAAGATTCTTATGTATGCTGTCATACAATGCATACTATGACTTATGCGCTTTCGTTCCCTGTATATGGGACATACTTCCTGTACTGGCCTCTACAAAATCAACTAGACACTTCATGTGCCATCTGCACAAGACATACTATGTCTTGTACCACTTGTTATGGGATAAGCTGAATTTCAGCTTGATTTGCAGTCCTCACTTTCCATCCAAAGGATGGATAAGTGTTAGCAACCAAGATTACAAAAAAAAAATATAGGACGATAGGTCATATGGTCACGTATGTGACAAAGTTAGCCGCATCATTTTTGGTTGGATGAGCCAAGAGTAATGGACAGGATAGGGGGAATTACCAATGAAAAGCCACGAACTGTACCAGCTTCCAGGCTGAAATTTGGTCTTTGCTCATAAGCCCCTCTTTCAGAGGCTCGCTTTGCGAGTTGCCTCCGGCCCTCTGTCGAGGGGATTTGAGGGGATTTGTTAAGCTAGTGAAAAAAGGGGGTTCAGGGCGGGAAAGTTAGAGCTGAGGTGCAGCAGCTAGGCCCCCGAACGGGTTTGATGCGGGTAATCCCCGTAAATCCCCGACTTCTGGGGGTTTTCAGCATCCGACCGGATGCCGGATCTCTCTGGGTCGATCCCGAGCCCTGATCCGGTTTGCGGGGTTTCCGGATCTTGCCGGATCTGCGGGGTCCGGATCGGAACCCTAATTCCATCTATAATCCATAACTTTCTTTCATCTTTCATCAGTTCAACAAAAATGTGATAAGAACAATTGATCACTACAGCTAAGTATGTATCCCAATTTGGTTACCAAACAAAAATTCTGAAGTTTTGGACTCAGCCAATCAACAAAAAAAGTAGCCTCAGAAATAAGCTTTTTTCTTTCTTTCTTTCAGCTTGATGATGAAAACACTACATTATCATCCTCATTTGACCGCTTGAATTCTATGACCATTTTATCACACATTCTTGGATATTTTCATTGATTACAAAGATAACAACACTCCAACCAATTGACACCTTGAGTTGGAATTTCATAAATTCTATTAGAACAGAATTCTTTTAGGGAAAGCAAATTAGAATATTAGCCAAAGTATGCATGGGTTAAAACACACTTTTCCACAACTAGTGTATGAGAAATAATGAGCAGCTACACTATCATATGCTATCCCTCTAATATGTGTGAGTGTAGTGCCCTTTCCTGTCTTTTTTCAAAAAATATTGTTTTTGATATTATCAGTCTACCATCTATCAAGCACAAAGAAATGCCTTAAAACCCTAGAGGTCATACGGTGGGTTCTGTATCCCCTACATAAACCAGATTTGTCACTCCCTGGAATCAGATTGCCCTGCAATGTCTGATATGGTGAGTCTAAATCTGATTCTGTAGGGTCTACAAATTTCAATGGGAATCCCTCCACCAACTCTATGATAGAATGGGCTAAAAACCATCATCATCAGCCCAAAAATCTATTGAGACTTAGTTTATCATTGTTATTGGGCCATTATCACCATATCAGTACCAAGAGTACTGTGGTCTAAGAAATTGATGAGCTAACTGTCAATTGTCAGCCTTAGAGCCAGCCAAGCTAGCCAAAAGACTGCTTAAGTTCTCCTTTTTCACTCCAGTTCCTACTGTAACTTTGTCATATTAATCTTTTATTAAATTCTGGATTCAGAAATGAATTCCTCTCTTAAATTCAACCTTAGTCACCAATACACACTTTTACACTACTCTTCTCCTTCATAGACTTTGTAATATCTCACTGTACCTTGTGAAATATCAACCAAGTTAGAATCCCAACTCTCTACCACATTTACACATTGTGATTATGTAATCCAGCTCTGAAAATTCTCTCAGTAGACACTGAGTTTGCATTTTCAGGAGGGCTCTTCAGACTCCAGACCCACCCAGAACCAACTCAGACCAGAAATCAGCAAACCTCAACTTGGATTCACCGCCATGCCATCACTATGTTATTGTTAGGAGTCCCTCACCTATTGGAATCTTCCCACTCATTGTGTCAGGATCACCAATATGTAAGGCAGTCCTTCAAGTTCAGCTTGCATCTTTCTGCTAAGTTTCTTCTTTGTCTCTCTGAATGATTACTCCATTCTGTTTCTACTAAACCTCTGCCTCAAACTTCATTACATCTAATCAAGTCATCATCATCATCTCTTTTTGGTGGTATAACTGAAAATCACATAGGTTTCCCTTTAAAGAACCTTGATCATAGATCTAAAAAATTGAGGTTGGATTGACATATCAATACCAAGTACCCTTTTCAGTTTCATTTAATTAGTAGGCGTAGATTAATTCCGCTTAATAACAGCCATCCTCTAAGGAAAGTAAGACTGCATAAAAACTTGATCATAAATAAATAAACAATTAAAAGATTATTATCTATTTTCTTTCCCTTCTCTTCTTCCTTTCCTCTACTTTTATTTGTATCTCTTTTCCTTTAAGAAATACATCTAAAAGTGCCCCCAAACCTTGTGTCCTGCTGTCACTTTTGAGACCCAGGCTCACATCAATATTGTTGGCACAGACATGCTTCCCTATAATTAACTATCAAACCCAGGAGTATATTGGAACCACCTTTACCATGAGCTCAGGCTTTCAATGGATTTCCAGTAGTTCAATTCAGAAACCTTCTGCTGAAGTTAACCTCAAATTCAAATTATCCCAAGCTAACCTAAATCAAACCACAATGATGTGTGTGATTGGCTTTGATAGTTTTTCAAATTGCCTTAGATGTGAGTCAAGTTGATTTTCTAAATTGAGTACCCTTTCAGTTTCTCATATTCTATAATTTAGGATATATGGAGGACTTCCCGTCAACCAGATGGCTAATTTTAGACAGACCGGCCAAACTTTGTTTTTGGGGGAAATTTTGAGGTTGAACAATTTTCACCAGCCAACAAGCTTTAGCCCTTCCTTGTAAATCTACAATTTTAGACAACGGGAAGTCCTCCAATGATAATGTCTTTCACAACATCGCAGTAACTTCCTTGGTAGTTATCAAAACGTATCATCAGCTGTGGTATAACTTCTGTGATCCTTTTTTCTCACAAAATCACTTCTTTTTTCCCACCTTTGGTTTCTTGTCAAGTTCCTGAGCCAGAAATTTAGACTAATCCTGTCATCAATCCCCACAAACTTTCCATACAAAATTCTGAATTTGGTCTCCTGGGTACACAATCATTCTTTACCACAATTCTTTCTCCAAAAATGATTCAGCTTCCATCCATGAACTCAGTATTTTCCATGTTGGGAACTCAATCTCTTGCCATTTCAAATAGGAAATAGTAAAAAAGGTAAGAAAAATTGGTCTTGATATATAGACATAAGTGAAAATTGTGTTTGGCTGGTCATGCTATAAGACCAAAAATCCACTGTAATGAGCAGAGGGTTTTCTAGCTTTGCAATGATTGGTTTAAGGTTTATCAACCTTATTCTGATTATTTGGATTTACATATTTTTACTTATGATAAAATGCACTGCCAAATGGACCACTAGCTTATTTATATCAACCATGGATTATGTATAAATCTCAGAAGAATATGTATAAAATTGAAAATTAAAAAAACAGTCATGTAATGAGCAGGATACAAGACAACTGAATCTTGTTAATTTGTGTCAGATATGATTCTATCAATCTCCCTCTTCAGAGCTTCTTGATCAAGCTGATGTTTGGCATATTTTTTCCACATTTGGGTCTTCCCTGAGAAGTACCAATAGTTGATCAAAACACGTGAAAGGGTGCGTGGCGGGATCTTGGGTTGAGAAAAAAAACGACTCAAGAATTGATTCATTTTCCCAAACTGTGGTTCTTTTTTGGCCAATATTAGATCCATTTTTTCAGCGGTGATGTCGCCTATGATGGGAAAGCCGATGAGAGGGTGCACTATCTCTTCGCACAACCACTCCGTTATTGCTTGATTTCGACTCTGAAGTGCACCTGGTTCGATGTGAAGTTTTTTCAGCATATTTGAATGGTAATAAGTAATGAAGGTGATCAAAGATATAAAGCATTTCATCAATCTTCCAGATTCAACATAGTTTCCGTCCGTATTGGTAATCCAGCAAAATGTTGTAGTTCTCAAATCTGTGTCTTTAACTTTGGTAATCATAAGTGGCAAACCTCTGGCATGGATTTCTGCATATGAAAAAAGTGGATGGTGGATCTTGACACGTAAGCGGTGCAAGATTGGAGCAAATTTGTCGCAAACCGCACGGATTTGGTGAAGCATCCATTTCTCGTTCGCCAATTCCATCTTGAATTTCTCTTCCGGAAACTTTTCTTTGTCCATGATAGCCTTGGTTCTTAATTTGATGGCATCAGCAGGCTCAACTTGAGCTTTCCCCATCGAGGAGCTCGGGCCAGCGTGTTCTTGAAGCAGCATATTTTCTTGCTCTCGATCGCTCGGATTGAGCGGATTGTTTTTTAATTGATTCTTTGATCCTGTCTAGAAGGTCATCAAAAGTGCAACGAGTGGATCAATGGTCATTGGCAGAATCTGTGATGGTGAAACTATGGGAAGACATGAGCGATCCTTGTAGGATCATGAAGAGCTTACTGGGTGTTCTTGCAATTCTGGATTCCTTGTCAATTGGTCTCCAGGGATCCCAAATCCAGCATTCCTAAACCCATCTGTAATAATCAAAAGACCAAATTGTCAAGTGAATATTTGAGGCTGTAGCCTGTGCCCAGTTCCGAACTGAACACTCATGACCATAGAGAACGAGACTTTCTGAGCTCGTACGTACCTAAAAAAGATTCCCCTAGAGACTGATCGATATCCATGTGCGTGTTTGGGCCTTGATCACCCGTCGGCTCTGGGCTTATTGCCAACCACGAATCTACATGCAAGATCAAGGACGCAAAAAATATCAACCGACGAGTAGGAAAGCGGGAAAATCGTTGGAAGAAAGGTATCGGGGGCTCTGTTATTTCACTTTCCGATTAATGAAAGGTCGACAGTATCATCTTCAACATGATAAGCTTGATCAATGCCATCGCTTCCAGCCGGTGTCGGCATCAACGGCCTTTCCACACCAAATGGCAGGTATTCCTCCAGCTGCTCCCGGGTATTGAACTGTTTACCTAGGGAAGATAATATATTTCCGAGCTCATCACTGTCAAAAGAGGGGGTTGGAATGGTTCTAACTTCTCCGGTTAAGTCCCATATAATCAGGCTGACAAGTAGCCAGAAGATAGAGGTTTCTAACATGTTAAGCCTTAGTTGCCTCCACACAATACGTCCCTATTCTTTGTGGTCCAATTGTATCACTTATCTGTAGGTTTTGGTTTGGAGAAGCATGTGATACGCTGGTCCCAATCCTAAAATTCCCCCCATGTTGGAGACGTGACACTGACACTGACACCGTCCCGCAGCCGGAGCGTCCTGCGTGGTGAAGGACTTCAAAGTTTTTATTCTCAACAGCAGGTTTGAAATGTGTGTAACTGTGTATGAGTGCTGTGCAATAGTGGGGTTCACACTTGAAATTGATGGAATTTTAAAGCCCATTCTGAGGTGTTTACATGAAAACAACTGTTCTGGAAATTGAGAAGTTGGGAAGATTGATCAGGAAACTCAAAGTCTGTGAATCCAGATTATCAAATTTGTGAAATGTTGTTGTTCATGAAGGCCTTAAAATTAGCTCTACAAATTTCAAAATTTCAATCATTAATTCTGCCAATACTAATAGTAGAATACTACATTCAAAATATATTGTGCCATGAAGGTGAATCAAGTTACATGAAATGAAGCAGCTGTGATATTACAGTCACTGTCACACTGAGCACCTGTATAGAAGATCCTAATCTTGTCACATGCACAGGCACATAAATGGCAATTCATGTATTTTTGTATCAGCACACACATGACTGTGCAAACTGTAACACAGTGCACTGCAAGAAAATCTCAGGTAACAGGCAGAAGTTGACTTGCAAAATACACCAGTATCTACTTTGTTGAAACCACTAGGTATACTCAGTAAGGTTTGAATTGAAGAACAAGGCTCAGCAAATTCTTTGGATGTTAACTGCCAGCAGTTTACCAAGTTTTTCTTGTATTTATAATGACATGTTTTTGCATGTGACCATGTATTCAAAGGTTCTGGAACAATTTAAGAAATAAAAGGAGTTCCTGTCCAATATACAGCCCCTTGGAGACCATTTTTTAAGGCTGCAAATCCAGATTTTCATAGTCCACTAATTCTAGCTTTCTGTTGCAAGAAAGCCACACAATATCTCTTAGAGATGGCCAGTCTCCATATTATAATCACCTCACACATCATTCCAAAGGAAATCATCACAACACCCACAACCCCTTGCAACAAGCACCTAAATAAATCAATTCATCAAATCCTTGCTTTGACTTCTATTCCTCTTCTCTATATCCCTTTGTATTTAGTCTTCTCTTTAGTAATAATATATTTTATTACTACCACCAATTTTGTCCAGCTTGATCTCTACGCAAGATCGACAGCTGACAGATACCTCAATTCATAGACGAGTTTTTGCTATGATCTGCTTGCATAATTACATGATTATATCAAAACCAATTCATCATTTTATGATTACAACTCTATGCAGTAAGCTTTCAAAACCACTAGTAAAGTTCTTCAAAGTGTTTTCATAATTTCACAAATCATAAAGCATAAATGCATTTTAGCAGGTCTTATATAAGTGTTTTTCGCAATGTTCCCAGACAAATGCTGTTTGCAAATTGTGATTTATGGAATTATGGTCTAACTTTGAATACCATCAGTAGGGACATCCAATGTTGTTTGATAATTTCACAAATCACAATCTCAAATCATGTCTGATATTGCAATTTGGATTTTATTATGTAAGCCTATATAATCACTGGCAAAGTCCATGTATTATTTATCAGGAAAATGTGACTCAAATTTGAATACCGCTAATAGCCCCATCAAAGCAAATCAGGCATCAGCCAATTTTGTAACAGCTATCTTTGGAAATGAGCATGATAACTTTGGAATAATTGAGGGAAAGAAAAGAAAGGAATTTGAAGTATGCTCCTTAAATTTTGTTTGTTCAAGTAAGAAATTGAGAAAGAAAGTAACGCGGGTATGGAACAGATGCACTCCCCTCAATCTGTTCCTTCAGGGCTAAGCAGTGATCCTGATCCTCGGAAACCTTTCTCCACATCTGAGTGTGCTTGGAGAAATACCAAAAATTGATTAAGATACAAGAAAGGGTGGCAGGTTTGGGTTGGGGTTTGAGTTGGCCAAAGAAATGGCCCAAGAATGCATTCAATTTTCCAAACATCGGCTGCTCTTCTGCCAACAAATAGCTGACTTTTTGACGCGTAATGTCACCCATGATTGGAAAGCCAATTGGCGGGTTCAATATTTCTGCATATAGCCATTCTAGAAGGGTCTGATTCAAACTCTGGATCACATCCGTTTTGACATGGAGTTTTTTTAGAACATTCGAATGGTAATACGTGACGAAGGTTATCAAAGATTCGAAGCTCTTGATCAATCGGTCACGTTCAACGTAGCTTCCATTCCGATGGGCGATCCAGCAGAACGCCGTAGCCGTCAAATCGTTTGCTTGCATCTTCGTGAGGATGAGTGACAAATTTTTGAGATGTTTTCGTGTGTATAAGTATTGTATTTGATTGGGCTTGGGATGTAAACGGTGTAACGTCCGAGCAAAGCTGGCCGAAAAAAAGTTGATTTGTTTCGTCATCCATCCCTCCTTTTCCAATGTAAGCTTCTCATCCGGGAGATGGGCCCCGCCGAGATCATCCCGGTTCATTAATCCACGATTTTTGACCAGATCGGCATATTCGATTTGAGCGTTTCCCCTTGTGGAGCTCGCGTCAGTGTGCAATACATGTGGGAACGGGAATGTTTTGCGCCCTCGAGGGCTTGAGGTAAGCTGATCGCTGCTCAAGTGCTGAGTTGTTCCTACCTTAATTCAATAAGGGCCAAGAATGCAGTGAGGATGTCAGCATCTTGAACCGCCCGTTGTGGTTAACCTCTTGTTGGATCATTGAGAGAAATTCTTACAGCCCCTCCCTTCACTTTTGGAGCCCTCATAAATTGATTTTCAGTGACACTGAAGCCAGCATACCGCAAAGCATCTGTAGAGGAGATAAACAAATGAAATTAATGTGCAAGTTGTTATTTTGTCTTGCATCAGTTCAAACCTGCATATCTAATTCTTTTGGGCCTGATTATGATTCGAATGACATGACCAGGCCAGTGATGAAACCTTCAAGAATAAAAGATCAAACACTTCTCAAGTCGTACCTATAACTGATTCTTCAGAGGGTTCCTCGACTGAAATAGGTGTGGCTGGATCGTCATTAACAGCCGGCCTTGGACTTGTTGAAAACCATGAATCAACTACATCAAAAGAATGAGGACACGTAGTATGAGCCGAAGAATGAGAATGAGGCATTGATCAAAAATATGGAAACTGCGATGTGCTACTTTCCGATTGATGACAATTTTTCAGGTGTGTCGTCTTCAGGAGGAGCAAGTTGGTCAATGCGCGGACAGTCAACCGATGTTGGCATCAGCGGCCTCTCTAGACTTGATGGTAACTCCGCCCCTAGCTGTTTCCGAAAACTAAACTGTTGAACCGGCAAGGACAACGAACTATCAAACCCATGAGATTTTTAGGAGGGATTTGGGAAGCCCCCAACATGTCCAGTCCAATTGAACATCAAGAAAGATAACGATAAGACGGAGGATTCAATCATATTCAGCTTTACTTGCGTCCACACAATGCGACCTTCCCCTTAGTTTTGTAAAGCAACACAAAGTATCCTGGATGCATATGATCAAGATCTGCTCGCTTAGAGTCAGACCCTGTTATAGAAAATAAAATGTGAAGTTGCTGACCATGAGCCAAAGTTTCGGCGTTTCTGATAGCCCCACTGTGATAGGAGCTCCACAACCTGATAACAAGAATACAGAAAGCTATCAAGAAAAGCGTTTGTGCTTCCATTCTCAATACCCCTAACCCAAGTTATCTGTGAGATCTTTATCCGTCTGCGCTTCTTGGTGATGGATTCTTATCTCAAGACCTGTATGATTAACCTTCCCCTAAGCCGCCCCGAAACTTTGAGTTAGGTTGTAGGGGGGAGCGGGGGAAACAGAGCCCACCAGTCTATGTATGAGGGATTAGGAGCCTTCTGCCTCTCATGGAGATCATGTATTCGGCCCCAACTTACAAGTTTCCTCTTTTGAAGGAGGGCCTGATACAATAGGAGTGCCTTGCAAAGAGTCCCTACCGCCAGCGTGCCCCCCTCAGTTTAGGATGGTTATGTAGCCAACTTGGAGAGAGTGGAATACAGGTGCTTGGCAGGAAACTCCTCCGCTTGGTATGTAGCGGGGAACTTCAGGAAGATAGAAAGAGCTTACCATGCCGCTCTAAGCTCACTTGTAAACGTGTTTTGACTGGTTGTTGTTAGTACTCCAGCGGAGGAAAAATGCCCGAGTAGAAGTTTACCAGAGTTTGTTTACCGGGGTGAAGTGGTCTGATCGGGACTCATCGGGCAGCGGGCTACATAGGCTGTGATACACTCGGGGGATCGGGGGATGCTACCAACTCTCTCTCTCTCCCATTCCATCATTTGGGGAAAAAGTTGAACAACAAATTCACAACACAGTGAGTTACTTTCTGATACACCAGTTTACCATCTACTAATTTTTGAACCCTTATGTAGATCACTTGCCACATAAGATTTGTACCTGCGGGGTTGACTTCGTACGACGCGACCATCACTCTGACTGGAGTGGAACGCGTCTTGGGCCCAATCAATCAAAAAAGTTTGTCCCACAAATATTTCTTGAATTTGAGAGCATACATCTCACATTCTCCATGTAAGCATCACTGACATTGGTACACCAATTCCATTGCATAGAAAAAACATTCATACATCACTCAGGCTCGCAATTCAAGTTCTTGAAGACAGGCGCAACCAAAGCTTCACTTATTCCGGCATTTTGATTGAAGGATGGCACCCACACATTGAATCGTTTTTTGATAATCAATACCTTACCCAAGACTGGCTCGACAAAATCCAAGAAAGCCGCAATGTCCACGTACAACTCCACTCGACTTCGTCAATCATCCTCCAGCTCCACCTCGGAACCACTCGATCCTACTACCCTAGCCATCTCGCTCATCCCGCTCTTACCCCCTCATATCTCTCGAGAATCTACTGATCATCAATTCTTCTCGCCTATCACCTTACCAGTCCTTGCCGCCAGTCTTTCAACTCTGCCCCATAACGTCATCAATGCTATTAACTTCTTGGCTCAGGAATTAAAATCACTTAGAGAACAACAAGTACTTGGTGGTCTGTCTCTCACCCTCTCACTTTTATTTTTGCAAAAATTTTCCTCACAAGCTCACCAAGGAACAATGAAGGCTGAATTTTGTGTATCATCAACCAGTTGGCGGTTCGAGTAATCCCCGTGCATCTCCTTTGCCAAGTCCTGATGGAGGAAACCCAGAAAGAGAAAACCGGGAAAGATGGCTAGAAAATCAAAAGGTGATCATCAAGCAAAAACTCAGGCCCGATATCAAACCTTCTGAAAAAAATAACAAAAGTGTTGAATGTTTTACTTTGATTTAGGTAAATCACTTGAAGAAGTCCATCTCATCGCTGACCAACCTACAAACGACACTGCAATCTCGTCTGCTCACCACAGTGGACACGCTCTCAGACCTCCAAGCGACTCATCGACGCGAAACCCAGCAACTGACCGATGAACGTGATGGAGTCAGGGCCGTCAACCAGGTCATGAAGCGAAAGATCGCGATGCTGGAGAAACAGTTACGAGAGAGTAAAGAGGTCATGGAGTCTGTCCTGGAGCGTGTCGATGTTGTCAATAAGGGGGATTGGTCAATCATTGAACATGGCGCCATCCAAGTTTTTTCCCCTCTCCCATCACCCTCACGTAAGCTTCTTTTTTGTCTCGTACTTGATCCTGTCAGCCCGATCGATCTATCGACTCATTTTTTTTGTTTTTGATTTGGGTCTAATGAGAACACAGACTGTTCGGATCAAGCAGCCGGACAGGACCATAGCCTTATCAGCGAAGATCTGTGCACATTTCATCTCCAATGTCAGGCGGACAATCCGAGCCAGATACCGCATCTCCTCTCGCCCACATCGGCGCAGGAAGGAGCGCGATTATCACGGAGCACCGGCTCAGAGTCCCACCGGAACAACCAACGCTCGATCACGTTGATTGCCGAGCTTACCGAAGAACTCGAATCGCTGAGACGCGAGATCAAGCTCGAACTCAAGCTCAAACACGACGAAATCAACCGTCTGAAGAGCTTGATCGACTATCGGGACGACGAAATCAGACAGCTCATGGCCCGCTTGGAACACTTCATGGGGCTCGATGGCTTCTATGTTCGTAGTCCATACGCTGAAGAAGACCAAACCGGAAGGACTGAGCCCTCCTCTCAGACGCTCAACAATCCAATGGCAGACTTGGTAGGTTTTTACTTTTCGATGTATTCTCCCGGGCAAGTGAATGATCACAAGTGGCGATATTGAGTTTTTTTTGTTGCTATTGACACGTGTATTTTTAGGAAGCTACCCCACGCCAAAAGATGGACCGATCGCAAAGAAGCCAATCGAACCAAGCACACCCATTCAACAAGCCTAACGAGCCGATGATTCGTGAGAATCAGTCGAATGAACAACGCGAGCTGGAGGAGGAGATCAGACAGCTGGAAAACCAGCTGAAAGAGGTCACTCAGAATAGCCAGTTCTCGTCCCCGATGGACGACCGATCTGCGCGTCCTACTGGCATACTTGACGACTTGCATGGCCAATCGGCCGCTGGAAATGATAGGTCTTCCGTCATCTCTGTCAACACCTCGTTAGTTCTTGTCTCTTCTTTTCCGCCCCCCCTTATTTGCTCTTGTACAATGTTTTACTAAAGGTGTATATGATCTTTCTGCCCTCCACTCTGTCTGTTTTTGTGATAGCGATGATCGGGCATTTTCGCGAGTCTTGGGTGACCTTTCGAACCAAATAGCTGACCTCAAGTCTGCCCTGAAAGAAGCCTGTCGGGAGCGAGACGCGTTGAGACGCTTCCGCGTCCGTATGAAAAACCGGCGCTCATCCGCCTCCACATCCTCTTCCGAGACCGATCCCGTAAGTGCTTCTTTTTCTATCTCCTTTCTTTTCGTAGCCATATTTATCATTTTGATTATTGACTCTCGACGGCCCCTCTTTTTAGGCTGAAAGCTCATGTGGACCCGAGACGACACGGTCATTGGCAAGCTCTCTAGAACGCTCGAGGTTCGAATGTACCAGGTAAACATCTCTCTCTCTCTCCCTCTTCAATTATTTGGCTTCTTTTCTTGCTTGCTTACTTTGTCTCCAAAAAAAAAAAAAAAAAAACACACATGGTAACAATGTTCCTTCGGGGGGAAAGATTGAACCGGTTGTTGGCCCAATCGCAGTCTAGGATCTCCGAACTTGAACGCCAGATGGTCGAACAGGAATCCGAATTCGAAAGGGTTGCTGAACGGGTACAGGATAAACTTAAAGACCAACGCTCCAAGGTTTGTCAATTCTAGAAACCAGATTTGTTTCTTCTTATGACGAAAGAAGAATCAGACTGATCAAACTTTTCTTGCGCGTTTTATTAAAATTATTATGATGATTGATTGATTGATTGATGCAAAAAGATGTTACAAGCCCAGACGCAGATCGAGCGATTACAGGGTGAGTTAGAAGAAGCGCGATTGACGGAGCGCAGGATGAAGCAAGAGCTAGCGGAGGAGCGGCGACATGGACAAGAGCTACTCAGTGTCTCTGAGCGCCGGAAGAAGAAGCAGCCATCTCAAGAGCGACTTGCGCGTAGGGAAGCCAAGTCGGCTGCTCAGGAGAGCAGCGATGTCGTTAGCTCTTCTTCCGCTGCCTCGGGATCCTCGTCTAAACGTCTCGCTGGAATTAAGGATCCTTTCAATGTACGCTTACCCCCCGTCTTTTCTCTTGTTGCTGATGTTTCATACCTGACTTGTTCTGATTATCTTCTTCGGTCTCTTATGTTTTATTTGTTCTGTTAGTGATCGATCGGCCCATTGTCCTCATCTTATCACGGGATTTTTTTTTCTTTTGGTCCTTCTCATCATCATCACCATCCTCATCCTCATCCTCATCATGTTCGTTGACTTGTTTGCTTGTAATTTTGTTTTCTATCTTCCTCGATAAACACAACCATATTTTTTTACTATTTATCATTTATTTATTTATCCATTGGTGTTTGTGTTTGTGTGTGAGTTTATTTTTTTCTATCTTCAACATTTACACCACCCAGCTTGTAATACACATTGTTTTTCTATTTACATGCATCATGCTGAAGGAAAAGAGATCCCAAGGGATACGTTTCAGAAGCACCATCCGTAATGATATCTCACATTATGCTTTTGAATGTGGAATCTGAGCACCACTAATATTTGTAGATGAGGTGTTGTCTGTTTGGGTGACCTGCTGAGTTTTAGTAGTGGGCTCAGTTTGGATGGGTGTCAGCTGGGCTGTCACTGGCCTGTCCCTGATAATCTCCAGCTTGATCGCGTCGACTGAAAACTCAGACGAAAGCCACACAGCCAAAAACCAAAACCCAAAACCAAAACCAACCACCATTGACCAACCACCAACTGGGAATACATACCCTCAAGAAACAAAGAAACAAAGAACGAAAGAACGAACGAACGAACGAACGAAAGACCAAAGAAATGACCACACTGGCAACCGGGCTGCCGATCAGCAGTCGATCAGCCGAAACCAAGATCACACCTGCCCTCAGATTGGCCGTCCAGAAGGCAACCTCGGTATTCCAGAAGGACTTCTGCTACGACTTCATCCAAGCCCTCGTCGATGAGCCCGAGATAGCTGATCCGATCGGCGTCAGATTATTCCTCAACTTCTGTCTGCGCAAACCGGACAACCTCGTCGACAGTTTCCTGGACTCACTCGATCAAAACTTGGGACCAGCCGAAAGCTTCTCCGAGGCCGCCGACACGATCCTCAACGAGATCGACAACTTCATCGAGTTCGTCCACGGTCTCATCGAGATGATCGATGGCGGAGAGATCTTCAAGTTGGCCTACCACGAAATCGACGCCTGGAAGTTGTGTTATCAGTTGTTGGAACCCATCCAACATCGCCTCTTCGATCTTGCCGTCCAGGATCGCCATCACTTTCAAAACCACAATCGCGACTCATCCGCCTCCTCTGAACCCTTCGAACTCACCTTCGCCTCAGATTCCACCACCTCCGGCTTCTATCAAGCCTTTGTCACCATCGACAAATTCCTCAAACATTCCTTCGAATCTAGGATCCTCTTAGAGCCCGCTAAGTTGGTCGAAGACGCCGACCAACTCGCCGAACGTAGAACCGAACTTCAAACGTTCAGGTCCCTCTTTCCCTCTACTCAAAACTCCACCCTTCTCGTCAAAAAACATGGCAGGTTCGGGAGAGAAGAAGCGACAATCGATCAATTCCTCGAAAGTGACAAATTCAAAGAACTTTCGAAGCTCAAGGCTACCATGTCAGGTGGTCAGTCTCTCTCTGTCTCTCTCATCTCATCTCAAAACAATAAGAAAATATAGAACGGGTAATTGAATTTTGTACTCGATCGGTATGTTTCAGGTCAATTAACGCGTCAACCATCAACCCGCACGAAGAAAGTCGCATCGCAGGTCGAAAATGAGAAGATCGGCGCGTCGTCGACGGGAAAGAGCAAACATTCTCAGGCCAAAGGCTCGCCCGCCCAGGCCGCAGATTCTCCAGGAGTCGGACACAAGAGCAGCAAACGGGCGGGAGTGGTCCGAAAGGATGATCCCCAGTCTACCCATCATCTCGATCCATTCCTTCGAGAAGAGCCTTTATCATCTCACTCTAAACCCGCATTTGTTAGGAAGTCAGTCTTCTCTTTCCATTCTCCCTCTATTCAAAACACTCACATACAATTTACCTTGAACCATCCTATTTGATCTTGTTTAGACGCATCCCAGAATCAGATTCTGACCCCGATTTCGAAGACGTGTCTGAGCGTAATCAGCGGAAGAAGTCGTCGCTTCCAGCAGGTCAGAGCGTTTGTCGCAAAGATCACCAGAGGGTCCCTGAGAAGCTAATCTTCAAGTATCCTTGGGGATGAACAGGTCAGCCGACGTCGAAGGCCGACTCGACGACGAGCTCATCAAAACACCGTCAAGGCTCCGCCCATCTCTCGCAACATGGATCGACGACGAGCAACCTCAGTCACCATCCGAAACGCAAACGTAATTCGCGTGGCGTAACCGCTAATCAACTCGATACCACTACCACTGGGAATACTACTAAAACTCGAAAGAAACGTAAATCCAAGTCTAATAAAAATGCGGACGATGATGATGATGATGACAATCCGTTGGGCCACGAAGAGGAGCTCTTCGTGGTCGATAAAATCATCGGCGAAAGCGTCGATATTAATGGCGAAACTATCTATAAAGTTCTTTGGGTCCGTCTTCTTCTCTCCTCCTCCCTTTCAAGAAAAGAGTATGGGGAGAAATTAATTTTGAGTGTGTGTATTTGTAGGCGGGATATCCGGAGTCAGAAGCTACCTGGCAATTCGCTAATACGTTGGACGATTGTGCGGCTCTAGACGTGTGGCAACAGAACAAAAAAAATGAGAAAATGATGAAGGATTCTAGCACTACCACTACAAAGCATAAGAATAATCAAGAGGATGATGAAGGAGATGGAGATGGAGATGATGCAGGAAGGAAGAAGAAGAAGATTGAAGACCTCAGTGGGAGTGCAAATGATGCATCGGAGACCTTGAATAAGACAACTGCTAGTGGAAATCATCTGAATCCTAATAAAACTATCCTCAATAATATCAATAATAAGGGGAATGGGAACGGGAATCTTCTGGATAATCCATTTGATGGGTTTAATGATCATCTGAATCAGCCTCTGGAGACTCCAAAAAACCTCAGCTTGAATAACTCTCTTACTTGATTTCCTCTCATTCTTTCCTCCCTCCCCACACTCTTCCTCTTTGTTGTTTCTCCTCGTTCTCTCAGCTTTGGTTTTTGTGTCTCTTTTTTTTTCTTTGGCTGATTTGAATCATCATGATCGGTTTCAATTGTGGATGGAAAAAATAGAAGACCAAATCTCAGAAATCTGGCTAATAAATCAATTAACTTACTCACTCACTCCGTCTATCATCTAGACTCTTGCCAAAGATTGTTGTTCATAGAGCTTTTTTTTGTTTTTTTCAAAGAAAAACAAAAACGCGGTTTGGACTCTTCTCTCTCTCTCTTGCAAGTCCTCCCCACTCAATCACTCTCTCATCATCATCACCTCCTGACCTGTGAACTTTGGATTTCTTTTCTCGTTTGAGTTGATCTCTTTTTTGTTTTTGAATTTGTTCATCCACTCCTTTCCCTGGTACATATTCATTTTTGGAAAACAATTCCCTCAAAATGCTCAGCCACCAATTTCGTCTCAGGGGAGTCAGATATGTAGTTGTCTATGTTGTCTGATTTTTACAACTTCAAGCCTCCCGAGTGAGATTTCAAAGGGACCTCAAGGCTTTCCTGATGTTTTTGGGACTGCTTGAAATATCTACACCAGAGAGGTTGTGGTAGGCAATGTGTCAAACGTGTTTCAGAAATGAAGGATCAAGTCCCAAGATGAGTTCTGAATTCTCCTCTTACTGTCTGGTGTGCTGCATGCATGCAAGAGACTGCTTCATTAATGTTGATATACCCGCTTGCTTTCACCGTAACGCTATCGTCCCGGAAGCAAAAAAAAAAACCATCGGCAAATCGAGTTGAGCGCTGATTTCGTATCATTAATTAGGCCCTGACAGGATGACTGTGGAATGGCACGGCCCCATTTTCCTCGGCGTTGTGCTTGGCTTCTTCAGTCTTACGTTGGCAACTCTTCCCCGGATTCCGGAAGCTAGAGCATCAGCCGGCCGATTTGACGAGCCTCCCAATTGCGAAGCTGATGTGTTCAGAGACCTGACACCTTTGGACTCCCGACCTGCAAGACACAGAGGACTTGTGGATGATTTATACGAGACTCTTCTAAATCTGCAGCCACACCCGTTATATCCTCATGGCGATCCTGTTCATGAACGTGGTGACTCCTTATTCAGACACAGTGAGTCGTCTGTCCACTGTGTACATCCCATTGCCTCCTTCTGGGCTGATATTACAGCCCTTTTTTTGTAGACCATATCCCGAATGGGTCGTCGCAAAACGCGCCGTCGGACCCTAGAGGCTCCGGAAGTACTAGACCATCATCAATTGAAGATGCGAACTCGGTGATTGGCAATCAAGCTGTCGAGAAAGGTTAGCTGATCATTCGCAATCCGACCAACTTGACACTGCATTTGTTGACCGAGTCGAGTTCCTTATCAAAACCCTGGACTAACATGCTTCCTAAAATATCTTGAACAAGTTGAACATCACTTCAATAGGCTAAAAAAACCAGATTCAATATCGGGGAAACACTCCATTGACGAACAAACACGAGAAGCTGATCAATCAATATTCGAACCAACCCCGAAATCTCGCCGTCTGTTCATGAAAGAGTGGGATGAACTGAAAGACGCAGACAATAAGGGCTTCATCTTAAGTGTGAGAAGACTTGGGCTCAAGGCATTTCAATATCAAGACAGTGAACGCGCAGCTTTCACCGAGCAGTTCAAATATCTCTTTCGTGGTGAATTAAAAACGCTTGCCCTTTCCTCCCATGAACCCACGAACCTAAAGAACATGAACCTCAGAATCACAACCACAAGAGAAATAGGACCGAACCGGTATCTAGCACATGTCAGAGTGACAAAGAATGGAAAGATACGACTACCAAGAGATCTGCGCACCCGAGTCGAAAGAATCATTGACAATCTGGATGTTTATCACCATTTGGTCAACTTGGGTGGATTAGATCGGGCGATGTTAGGAGTCCAAGGAAGCGCATACAAAGATTTACTTCATTGGTTTTTCATTCTTTTGTTCAGAGACAATGGGGAAAGATGGCCGCTACTGGGCCAAATCGAAGTCCCATACATACTCGAAAATCCTGAGAAAAAGTTCCAGAGCGAAGCTCAGAAGTGTGTCTTGAACCTACTCACCGACGATGGAATACTTAACAGGGGAAGGGGTTTCAAGGCTGCGATCGAACTAATGGGATATTGGTATGAAGACTACATGACTGAAATCCGCCGAAAATACGATCAAACAAATGAAAAATTACTCTTCAGCCAGGAGGTTTACGACAGAGAACTGCAGAAGGCATTGTCACTAGCAGGCTTTCCCGCCAAAAAAAAACTCGAACCCCCCTACAAGCCATAAATTACATTTACACTGATGTTCTATCCTGATTCAAGCTTCTATCTGCTTCTCAAAAATCTATGTACTTTCTCAATCTTTAATTTTTGCTTCCAATCAAATTATATAGCAGGGGCCTTCTTGTGGAGGAACACTAGGAGAAGAGAATATCAGTTCAAGATCTTGCTATCGGTGAGAGTATTAAGGAAATTGAGTGGAAATACCCAACTTGTTGATGCAGATTCTTGGAATTTCCGAGTAAGCTTCTTCTAGACTCGATGAATTGAGAGAGTGGACAAATAAAAGGACTTCCTCTCAGCAATGGATGCTGATCACTAGTGTTACAAGAAGGAATGGGTATTATCATATCATTCTAGGAAAGTATCAGTTCCAAAATGGAAGCATATGCATAAAAATGTGTTTGTTAGATTCATAAATATCAGTTGCATCAAGGGAAGGGAGAAACTCACCAGTACAAATCTAACAAGTTCATTCACCCGATGATCACATTGCATCTTCTCTATAGTTAATCGACTCGAAAATGGCATCCATTTACTAACATCCCAGACTTTATGAGGCGGAGGTGGTCCTGTTGCCGGAAGAGGTTCATGGGGCTGGATACCCAGAGCAGCAAGAATGCTAATCATTCTTTTTTTTTGTCACGTCAAGATGATCAATCCTCTTGTTCCTTGGTGAGGACGTATAGTGAAGCTAGCGAAACCACCTGTAAATACAATTTAACAGAAAAGCTTACTGGTTGTCATGTGAAAAATCAACGTAGCTGCTCTGGTTCAAAGGAAAAGTAGCCCATGATCGGTCGAGAGTTTGATTGACCTAAAGTTTTTTAATGCATGTGTGGGACAAAGGAAGGGCTGTTAGCATGCCTTGTTCGTGGTAGGTTTCGAGATTCAAAAAATGAACTATCGCTTTGGAGTTGACACTTAAAGAAGACAGAATCTCTTGATATTTCCGAACCTTAGATTCATCTTGTTCCACCCATTTTTTATCTCCAGTCAAACGAGCTATAAGCTCAGCTACGTAGCTTATTCTAAGGGTAATTATTCGACAAGCGAAGCGTATGTTCAGTGACCCTCAAAAAAGACTCAGAGGGAAAGACAATCACCAACCCTTCAGCTTGGCCCAGTCGATTTCCCAGGCCGTGATTATAATATCTGTGGACAAATGAAAATGTCTGTCAGTACCTTGGACAAAATTGATTGCTCCGGGAACTTGATTTTAACACGCAACTTGTCCAAGTCATAATAATAACCTATTTGAAAGGCATGTTTGGAAAACAAACAAAAATGGTTTGTCAAATATTGCAACCAAAACCTTCAGATCCCTTTTCTGCTTCCTTCATCTTGACAAATCAATAATCACCATAGCCCGGCCAATCCCCATGCTCGAAAATTCCACATAATCTACTAAGTTTCTCATCGGCTAGTGATTCAAATATACACAGCTTAAAAGTAAAATCGAAGGATCAAGTGGCACGTCAAAAGCGGCAATTTCGGTTTACCAGGAAGGAATAGCGAAAAGCTAGACAGCCTGCCTGCATAAGTGCCAAGGTATCTTCGTTATTCAACTCGGCATTTATGGCCAGCGAATTCAATCTTTCGGTGATTCTTGGACCGAAAATGTTTAGCCATTGTTGCTTCTCACCACTGGATTCCCGGTTCGGACACGAATTGTTGTCTAAGGCTAGAAGGCAACATAACAAATATCAGACTCTTTGCTAAAATGAGGAGCAGATGATCCCAAGAAATGAAAGAATGTTTTTTTTCTATTGTACTTACTGTTATTGCTCTTGAAATTTTGAAAGAAAGAAAAAAATAGACAACGGAGCGGAACAAGATAAGTCGAAAATCTAATTTCGGAGAGGCAACATCTTGAGAGGAGACTTACGTCGGGATCTTCAGAGATGACGAGAGGTTCTATAGGATTGATGTTTATCTCAAGCCAGGAGGCGAGTCCCGAGGTGAAGTTCTGTGCGCTATCGACCACTCGTTCGGATGAACTAGCTCGTATGAACGGGAGGTTTTCTCGATCAATCAGCCCTTCATAGCGCGATGCAAACTGTACCCCTGCTTCGAAGCTTTCCATGGCTCCCAAAGGAAGCAACGAGTCTTCGCCCAAATGGTATCTAGACGTAATAAGAAAAATGACACGCCTCAGTGCATTTTTCCCCATTATTAGAAATCCAATGGAGGAAAATTCTCACTGATAGTCAGTGATGAAATCTAGAGATTCATCCAGATGGGAAGACTGTTTAAGCTTTTTCAGAGCGCGATGGATGGTTTTATGGACTTGAGCAGTCGGGTACCGGGATCCATGTCGCTGGAGTTGGTTCACTTGAACAATCTTGCAGCCTTTGGGCGGTGACTGATACGTTCCGATCTGATGGAACGGCGCACTGGATCGGACGTGCAAAAATGTCAGTTGTTTCATTCAAGTCAAGGGCCACATTGCATGTCATCATCTCCCGGATGAATCGGAGATGACTGACGATTCTGTTTCATTTATTTACTCACATGGGACCAGCATGATGAACGATCCAGTTCGGTAGTGCTAAACTTTTAGTATCAGAGGCCGATGTCAAACGAAATGGCTCTTGTCTATTTGCTATGATAGGTGATAGAATCCGTGGTAAATTCAGCGAGCGATGCTTCCCTGCGAACCAATTTGGCTGCTTTTTTAAGTGACAAACCCGAACACTGCGATTCCAGATTCCAGTGTGCGAAAAGGAGTAACGAAAGCGCCATAAACGTGGACATCTTCGACGACCTCTTCCCGGGCTGATGTTGAAGTATCAAGTACACACAGTCCTCAAGTGCTGGCTGGTGCTGGAATAGGAGTATGTAGAATATTCGCGGATGAACTGAGCAGGCTTCTCTCTGGGCCGAGGAAGGGACATGAATGACAATACGATTCATTTTATACGTCTGTGTGTACGCAAGTAAAATGTGCATATCAATGTTGCAGCATGTTGGAAACTGCAAACGGCTGCCGAGGGGAACCGGATACATACAACCGGATGTCCAGATGCACCGATCGGCGGCGATACATGGGAGCATAGGAGAGCCGGCCCCTATAAAGACATGCCTTCATGTGTGAATGGTCCGAGTGTCCGACTCCGTCCGAGTTAAAGGTTGAACATTCTGTGAGGCATCATGTAATCGTGCTGATGGAAAGCTTTTTCTTTCTTGAAACCAAAAATCTGAAATTTACCCATTTTATTAACGGGCATTTACACAAACCGTGTTGTGTCAAAGAACTAGAGCCCAGCTATGACACAACACAATCTGAAAATTTAACAAGGATTAGATAGAATAGTTAGCTTTTAACAGATTGTTGTCTTCAATTTTTCCAGGAAGGTCTTACCTTGGGTACTTCACAAACTTTGTAAACAAATTTCACATTCATCAAAAACATCAAGAGATACCTAAATATTGATGTGTAAGAATTGTATGAGAAGTTTATGATCTGTATGAGAAGTTTATTATCAGCATTGGCAAACTGATGTTCAACTTTCCATTGTAAATAACTATGAGGATGGTTGAAGGTTCGGTTGAAATGCTCATACTTATGGCTTCTCACTACAACTTGGATCCTCTTGGATCTGACTCATGATTTCTGAAATCAAACAATTTTTTTGGTACTCAACCCTGATCTGTCACAAGACCTTTCACATCTGTGACAGCCTCGTTTGCATTCAACAAGGTTCAAGCTTATTAAGATCTTAAGCGGGAAGTATTTACCACAGAGAGGTCAATAAGCCAATGTCGCTCAAGTTGTGGGCTCCCAGCAAGCCGGCATCAAAGAGCAAGCCGACCGCGGTCAATTCAAGCGCTTCCGGTAAGCATTGCGAAGAGGGCAAGCGACAGCTGCAAGGCCGCTGCCCTGGTGCGGCCTCCCACTGTGAAACGCACCCAAACTTCTGGTCGGGGTCGGCTGGGCCAGGCCGCCGTCAAACGCCGCATCAAGCGAGCGTCGCTAACTCGCTCGGGAGGTGTACGATCAGAAGAAAATCCAAAGGGCAAGGCAGAAGGTTCTCGCGTGGGCCAAGGACTGAATTTGGCTGAAAGAGGAATTGTGAGTCACCATCCCCCAGATTCACCGGTTTCTTCGGCAACATCACTGGCACAAACTGCGTTGAGCATCAAGATCCCTCGGCAATAACCTGCCAAAAATTTTGACTACATAGATATTTAAATACAAGCGATTCTTGGCCCTTGGGTGCTCCAAGCGTTGGACATGGCTTCATACGTGTCTCCCACGGGCCAACGCCCTTTACCCCGCATAATCGAGTGTAGTTTCCTACTACATATTCCAGGATATCTGGATGTGGATCAGTAACAATACACTTTTAATCCGACACTCTTCTTGGTTTAGACTAAGCTCATTGAATTCACCGGGTAAATGATTCAGCTCAAACGTGTTTCATCCAGATTTATCAATAATGGAGGGGAAGTCATTGTGGGCCTTTGTAGCCTCATGACTTTTTTGCTCAGCACATACATAAGTGTCAAGAATTTTGCCCAGAAATGTTTAAGAGAAGTGTCAACTTCGACCATTTATCACAAACAGGATAAAACATGCTTACATACATATATACAGAGAGGAAGTATCCGGGGAGGCACATGGTATTGCGTTTGGTAGAATAAACCCACCCCCGCAAGACACGTATTTAATCGCTGTCATTTGCTTGCATCTGGGGGCACACGTAAGCTGAGTCAAGATGAATCTTTTCCAATTTTGCTCATTGCCGTACTTTTTCATAATTATTTTGGAATTGATTGAGGAAATTGGATCCGCCCCCATTCCTGAGCTCAAACCTACTTACAACTTCTCGCCATCTTTCCGCGGGCTAGAGCACAATGTTGAAGAAGCCGAAGAACGGAAGTCAAACTTTCGATCACATCTGGAATTTGAAGTACCGCAGAAGCACGGAAGGCTTGCAGATGGCCGTATGGGCGAGGCCATTCCCGTACTTGAAGGTGGGTCTTCCACCTTACCATCATTCCCATAGCAGTACTGATATCGTGATATGCCCACTGGCCGGGTGCTGTTTGCTATTTTCTTAGAGCGAAGACAAGCAACCAGCCCAATGCCGAGTGATTATCCAGCACAGAGTACTCCCATGTCCATTGCAGAAACCTCAGGTGGACGGAGTTCAGGTGAGGTCTCGTGTCGTTGAGCCGTGGATCATTCATTGAAAGTAGTATACTCACTGACTGGCTTGATTTTTGCAGACGCCTTGAGGTCGAGGAACGCAGACGTCCGTGTCAGCACCGATCCGATTGGGTGGCATTCAAAAATAAAAGGTCATCCTGTAAGACTAACTCTCAAAATTCTAAAATGTCGCGTCAACACACGGCCTGTACGGCTGACTTTATATTTATCACAGCTAGAAAGATTAAAACAAAAAATAATGTTTCGAGGCAACAGGAGGTCGCATCAAACAGTAAATGTTAATTCTCTTCAATGATTCTGGCTTTACTAGTATATCCCGTGGTATGAGGTCCGGAAAGCTGAAGAAGTCAATTTTACATGTGTACCATAGCTCGCAAGTCCCTTGAGCAAAACACGTTTTGCAGATAATGGACAACTTGAAACTGGCTCAACTAGCAGCCTCACTCTGGTCCAGGATCCAGTTAAATCAAGGACCGTTCGAAAAGTTGATCAAAATCGATTTCCAATCAAGGTGCCAGTGACAAAGGAAGCTTGGATGACTCAACAAATCCACTCCTTTTCGTCAGATTACTCGAAGTTGATGCATTCGCTTTTTTGCCGATTGCATCCCGCGTCGAATCACTTTCAAATCGGATCAAAAAAACGCATTCCCGGTACACCAGTTTCGATGTCCAGTATCCTGAAAGTAGGCGACAGCGAGGTGATGCTACGTCTCAACTGGATTGTTGACAAAGATGGACGTGATTGTGCCGTTGAACAACTCATTACCAGATTTACGTCGTTGATAAACTTCATAACCTGTTATCATTCGGAACTTCTAAAAGCACTAGGAGCCAAGGCTGACCAAGTTAGAATTCACAATGAAGCCTTAATGAAATGGTTGTTGGCCGAAATATTCAACCCTCCCACTGGCGTTCCGATCATTGGAAGAATCACCAGACAACAAATAGTCATACAAGATTTAACATTGCGGGCTCTGGATGCATGCTTGAGCAAATATTTCGCTCTACCTGAAGCTGAGCACAATCCCAGCAAGTTTGCATGTATGGTAATCAGCTTTTGGTATCGTGTTCGAAAACGTTCGCATTATCATATTGATACCATGGATTCATTATTGAAGGAGATCCAAATTCGTTCCTTGGTTACCAATCCCTAATATTCTCTCCTACATACACTGTTTCCCAAAATTCCATGAAAATGCCTGCTTAATGTTGAAATACGGAAGAATCTGTGTCCAAAAATATGTGCCACTTATGCCAGCTCTGTGTATGAAACACTGGCTTAATTATTATAAAACTAGGTACTATCACTGTGCTGAAGTACTTTTCAAGGTCAAGATTACGCCTAGCAACCCTCAAACAATCAGATGGTCCAAGATTACCACTTAAGAGGTTCTAAGTCCACACTCCTCAGTAAAGGACACTTTGATTAATTAAAGAAGCACTTTAGGAGAAAATAACAATTCTTGTTATTGCAGTAAGTTTGGATGCAATAATTAATATATCAATAAGTAGCTGGAAAGCACTTGAACTGAAAGGCTACAGTCAGAGTTGGTGGTCTTACAACAACTACTTTCCAAGGAATTAAATAAGAGGTGAATCTAGGATAATTCTGGGCTTCTTACTAGTAATTCCGGTAATAAGGTAGGGTTGGATTGGGTAAAGGACTACTCTAAATAGTAGGAGGAGAATATTCACTGTTCTCAATCAGAAGGTTGGGGTTGAATATGCTGAAGAAGAAATCCTAGGATAGAGAAAGACTCCTTAAATATTCTAGAGGTCCCCTTGAGGACCTTCCTTGAATATTCTAGAATTTCCCTTTAATTTACTATATTAGAATGATTCCCCTGATGTAATGGAATAATTTGTTTTATTTAAAAAAAAATATCTTCTATGTACCATGAAATCGTGATGCATATTCATGGACAATTACATCATGTGTCTTTCTTGAAATAGAATTATACTAGTAGAATTGTCACACTCCTGACAAGGTGTGGTAATTTCTTTGTAAAAGTTTGGATATTGAGTATTCTTTTAGAATTACACTTGCAAGTTTATATTGAAAGGCCTAAATCATTGTATGTTGAACCCTAATTTAACATAGATCAATTTTATTCTGTATTTTTAAAACCAATTTTACAAGTTTAATTCCTTTTATCCTCCAAGACTCTTGAGTTTTCTCAAAGTCCATGAAGGAGTAGGATTTTAGGAGTACTTTCAGTGAGAAACACCCTCTAGAATCTTATTAAATGACGGAATCTCATTGGCAAATTGATAAATAATTGTGATTTTTGTTTTCATCCTCCAAAGGCCATAAAATGGTTCAATCAACTTCACATGAAATCTATAATCTTTGCTCAGATTTCTCAGAAATTCAAAAAGGTTTTGACGCTGAATTAATTAAACAGAGTTAGAATGAAAACGTGAAAGGGGACATGAGGATTTATTTTTGCCCATTTTGATTAAAACTTTAGGAAATTGATATCAAAAAACCTGGGAATTATCCACATGAAACTGCTCTCTTGATCACCCTGTGCCTAGAATTTACATCTAGTAGAAAGCCTGAAGGGAATCCCCACCAGGTCTCATTCTCACAAAGAGGCATACATGAAATTCTTTCTCCTGCCTAAATCACAATTCACACCATAAACCCAGAACTATACTCCCAAATACACTCAGGAAAAGGAAATTTAGTGCAGAATTCAAGGTGCAACATATTGTCAAAATCCTTACCTGGAAGTAAAAGCTTGCCTTCTATTTTCGACAATGATGAGAGAAGCATCCTCATTCATTCCAAAATTTAAAGCAATGTTCAAGAAACAAAGAAACACAAAAAATGAAATTGAAATTTTACATTAATTTATGATTTGGAAAAATACCACAGGGAGTGGGGTTCCAAAAGATGAAGCTGATTTTTCTTGAGATTGAATATTTATAACCTGGATTCACTGGGAGTTTTTCTTCTGTCCTTGGGAATTTTCAGCCTGACCAAGTATGTGAGATAGTATACAGAGCACATTGGAAAAAAGGGATTCAAAATATAAATATCAACTGTCTTATATCTTTGGTATTGGTTGCTCAAGTTTCCCAATTCAATAAACTGATTGCAGATGCATCAATAAAAGGCCCCAGCTTAAACAATCCCCTTTAAGTGGAGGGGGAGGCTGTGAGCCTGTGTTGCAGGGACCCTCCAAAGGAGGGAATTGTATGTCAAGTCCACCCATCAGACTGAGAGAATTAGGAAATCCACCTTCTTCAATCCTTTGTATCAGCACCATTTTTCAGTCAATCATTATTTTTTGGGGAAGCAAAAGATGCACAAGATCATGGTCAGGATGACAGAGGGTTGACCTGACCCACTTGATTACTGGGTTGGGTTCTTACTTAACCAAGTCCCCCTATTGGAGGGGGGACGCTGTCCCGCAAGGACCCTCCGAAGGAGGGACTTATGCGCTAAGTCAAGCCCGTGGCCCAAGAGAACTAGGAAATCCACATCCTTCAATTGTGTGTAGCAGCACCATTTTTTGGCTGATAATCATGTTTTGGGGAGGCAAAAGATGCACAAGATCAAGGAGATTCATTCCACATTTTTCATGATTTTTTAGGCCCTTGGATGGCTTTCAACTTATATTTTTGGTGATTACAATTCTCCTGCCTCATCCTGCACCACACATTTTGCACTGTACAGTATCTGGGATTGGAAATGTTACAATCATCATCATTAATGAAGGAGATGGTTTTACCATGAGTAAAATTAGTACATAGATGGGGACAGCTTGAAAGAACCCCCAAGTGAAAACTAGCGGAAAACAAATCAACCAAATTTGTGTGAGATTGATTTGAAAAAACCCCCCACCAAAATCCTTAATGCTCTTG